CTCCACTGCCTTGGATGGGATTTACCCCATTAAGCATAGATACCTACAGCATAGATATGCAGATATGAACTTTGAATCTGCACTGCCATTACAGCCAAAGGAGGTCAGAAAATATTGCCAATAGAAACCATGGTGTCGTATCTTTCCATAAAGGTCCAAATTAAGAGAGAAGAAATAGTAAAAAACCTATTCCTCTTCCTTGACTATTATAAGAATTGGGATAACTATTTCAGTTTGGCATGTGAACAGTGTAAACATTTAAAGTTAGGATGAATTATTAATTTGATGAATTTTGCTCTTCCACAGCCTGACTTTGGCTGCTTATTTTCTCTTGTTCTTACTTTTTTCATTACTTTATTAATCTCCTCAGAGATTCCCCAGAGACTCCTCAGAGTTTCATTAGCCTCACTCTGTAGGTGATGAGACCATTCAAATTTCCTAGGCCTTCTTTACACTGAAATCATCATCATCCAAAAAAACACATCTTTCGTATCAGTTAAAAAGCCAGAAATTAACTTCCACCATAGCAGAGAATAACTTTCACAATAGATTATCTTCCATCTTTCTTAATTTGCTAAGGAAGAATGATCAGGAATAATCAGTTACATGTTTTTCACTCATATATACTTTGAATCCTTTTTATATATCTGAAGTCTTTATGAGCAGTTGCATGAGTTCCTATTCTACCACACCACCATCCTCATTTAATCACTTCAGAAACCAAATCTTCATCTTGCCAACTTAACCAAGAAAAAGAGTGACTTTAGCATAGAGTAGCAATGTACTAGTTTGACATGGTCTGCAGGATAATGATTTAAATATTTTTTTAGTATCTTCTGATGACTAATTCTTCCTTTAAGACATGTTTACACTCATCTTTTCACTACCAAAGTAACTGCGCTTCCTCAGTCTCCCATTTCCGCTCCTGTCTTTTTACAGTACACTTTACAAGGGCGTCCCTTTAACAAACCTGTACTCTAGCTCACAACTAGACATCTTTTTGCAAATGTGCTTGATTGTTCTAAGGTTTCAGCAGCAGTCCAACACAAGTGGACATCTTTGTTTCTCTGCAAAAGCCTTAAGGGAAATATTCTCCCTTTTCCAAGAAGAATGTGGTGATGGCTTGGTGCTGCTTCCAGTTGCCTGTGAATTTCTCTATTTCTCTTTTATATAACAGTGACAGACTCCAAGGGTAATGAATGTTGCCTGATATTCCTGCTTATCTCAGCTGTAAACTGCCAACTCCCCACGGGACTTCTCCCTCAGTTTGTGGATGGCTATCTCCAATTTTGAATTCAAATTGATACCTGTTCCTTAGTCTGATGTCTATCAATTTTTCCTGCTGTCTGGTGTCCTATATGTCATTATATTGTCTTTGAAAATGCAAATCTATTTTCCAGAACGGTCATGAATTTTTACTTCAGAAAGAGGAAATATGTTCTGGTGTTTGCYAGAAAGAAAGCATTGATTCATCTGTCACAGGTCATAACCATTGCTCCCTTCCGAGTCATAAGAACATTAATTGTGGAACTGAACATAAAAGAAAAACTTCATAAACTGCCTTTCTAAACTTCCTCCAAAATCCCTGTTTGCTCAGAATTTCACATGGCAGCTGACACGCACCAGTGATTTCCCAAGCTTTTTATCATATAGACTCACTTGAGAAAATTGAATATATTTTGGGTGCAGTTACAAATAGATGAAAACTTAGAACACTGGTTCTCTCACAACTGCTGTTTTGTGATTAGCAAATACTGTTTGAAGCAGTGGCAAAATGTGAAATGTAAGAATCTGATTGAAATTACTCACTGTTTGTAATTTTATTACTGGTTTCCTGGATAAAAACATGTACATACACACTGAATAGGGAATGATCTGAAAGTCTAATGCTTTTAGAAAGTCTCTGACCAACTGTTCAAGCACTCAACAACTCTGTCATTCACACAGGCTAAATGTTTCCCTGAAGCATCACACGTTCTCTGTATGTGAACACAGCACATGTACATGTGCTGAAAAACACCTGGGATTAAGCATGTATTGCAACCTATAGTCAGAACTATCGTGGCTGTGACATTAATCCTACTGGGTATTTTATTAAAACACCAGATATCTGGTAAAAGATGAAAAAATATCAGATGAGTCCAAACAAGCTTTCTAGAAAAAATATGATAGGTCCTGGAAAAACCTGTTTGTAACAATCACTGTATAAATACAAAGTAGGCTTTCAGTCAATTATTCACTGGACAGGCTAGAAGAATGAAAACACCCAGACATTCTCTMATCCCTGGGAAGTATTGAGCAAAGACATTTGATGGCACAGACACAGTGGTACAACTACTGTCTCACCTGTGCTGGGCAGACCAATTGAATAGGCCAGGCAAGACTCAGCACTGCATTGACTCTTGGATTTGAGCAACTAAATCTCCTCCACCCAATCTCCTTGCCATCTGGGAGTGACTCTCTAGCCTTTCTGAAAATCCAGTTATTGATTCTTGATGGCAATTCCAACAGTGTCAGCAAGGGAGTCACGTCCGTATGTGTTGGAGTTTGGTCATGTGTGCCCTGAGCTGTCACGGTGCATGTGTTGGTCTGCTCAGTTTTGGCAACACAGAACAAAAGCCCTTGGACATGTGGAAAAACGATCATAGGTCCAACAGAACATAGTGTCTCAGGCTGCCCACACATTTCACTTACTTGTCCTCACTGCACAGGAAACATTATGTCTCATTGGTCCACTATATCTTTCAAAAAGACCTGTTTGTTTCTTCATTTTGCTTTGCCATTCTATGTATAACACAGCACATAAACATCAGAAAGTGTTTGGAAACATCACAGCAGGATAATTGCTAATTAAATCAGAGTTTATTTAGGATTAGAAACTCTAGATGACCATCCTGCTCTTGTGGGCAGGAGAATTCCATACCCTGAAAAATAAGGGYAAACCAAACTACATGCTTTTCTAAAAATGGATATGCCTATGCTGCAGTTGTAAACTAGAATAAAGCAAATAATCTGACACTGATCTCATTGCTACTGAAGCCAGACAGGTAAGAAAGCTCAAGACAGCTCAAGAGACTCTGATGACTCTCACTACACTTCTGTCACATTATGGCCTAGGGAGAAGAAGCTGAGGTCTGGGTTTTTAAACATAAATCTCTGAAATACTGATTTACTGGCTATGCTCCCTCTAACATGGCCCAGGATCCTGTTAGCCTTCATCTCTCCCAGGTCACCAGGTTTATGTTCAATTTGCCCAACCCCACACTCCAGGTCTTTTTCAGCAGAACTGTTATCCTGGCTCAGAGTCTCAACATGGACAAAAATGCAGCTGCTTCCTGCCACACTACTAATGCACATGTGCTTGTATGACACAAATACATGTGTGTGCTGGCGCACGTGAGATTTAGTGATATATTCTCTCATGTTCCATCATGTTATGAGAGGCACTTCTACTTTGGTTTGGTAATGAACCCCACATACATTCAAACACTTGYTCACTCTACTACAAAAACACAAGTTTCTTGTACGTGAGAAGTACATCCTGGACAAAAAGTTTAGATATAACAAACATGATCCAAGTTTCTTTATTTTGCAGTTTTAGTCTTTCTTTTATTAGTCCTGTTTTCTCTCCCATATTATAAGCAATCCATAATATTGTGAATAATAAAAAAAATCAAACACTTGTTATATTTTTCTGTACATCCTGATTTATCTGTAAGTACAATTTTATGTTTTRTATTAGTCTAAACACTTTAACTAGGACTGAAAAATAAAGATGAACCAAGACTGAGATGGAATTATTCCAAAAGTGCAACATCAGAATCAGCTTCATGTTTGGTGTGCCACAACTTATAAAATCTGAAATTTGCATAATTAAATGAAAGAAAACAACAGACGACAGGARGTCAGAAAATGGATTGTACCAGTTGAATAGAGAGAGAAGCAAGATTAACATGTCAACAAGTGCTAGTGCTGTAGTACAGCATAGATTCCTCTGTGCTGTACAGTCAATATAATGCAACTGTGATAAGAAGGTGTTACYTTCCAGTACTGAAAGGATAACTTAGAGAAAGTTTACTTACTGGCCTTTAAATGGAATATTTAGGTCTTTTTGACCACTGRATCAATTAAAGCCAACTACAGATAAATGCATGGTAATTTGGGACCATTAACTGTGCCAGAATTGAAACTGGTCACAATAAAGTACACTATCATCAACACAACATTAATAATAACACTGCATTATAAGTCAACTCTTACTGTAAATACATTTATCTCAACATCAAGTAAAATGAAAAGTCTGCATACTTTTKCTGAACCTTCCAGGGAATTTATGAGAAGTAAGAACTCCTACTATCTCCATCTCTAAAGCCATAATACTCACCTTTCCTGTGCCAAAGGAATAATTCTTCTGCCTTCAAGTAGTGAGACAAAACTTTGCTAGAAAAATCTTTTTGAGAGAAATTTTGTTCTAGGATAAAGTCTTTGCAGAATGTGCTTACACTTAACTCCTAAAGTAAGAGTTTTCATAAGTAAATGGACAATTCACTGAAACAACTCCAGGTATACTAGGCCTTTGTACTGTTCTATCTAAATTTTTTCCCAAATCCAGTTACATTCAGTTTCTAAGTGACTTTCTGCATATTAGGCAACCATCCAGTAAGATAACCCAACTTCTTTAGCAAATGTCACTCAAGAATGACAAAATGCTGATGCTATGTCACTACCAATCTAGGACATAGTCAAGTACTCTGAAGGTGAGACATCCATGTCATACTTCCATTGCCAAAACTCACCTATTACCTAGCTGTAATATTTCTAGCACCAAAATTCTGTTTCCTAATTCACTAATTAACCAAACATTTTTAAGATAAAGTTTGGAAAATTTGAGATACACATCAGCATTCAAGAACTGTTTCAAATTAAAGAACTCTTTTTTCTGACCATGCCAAACCCCTWAAATAGTTTGAACCCCAAATAAGAAAAAGCTTCCACCTCACCTTCACCACTGCATTTTCATGCATGATGACACAGTTGCTGGCATCCTCTGAAAGTTGATATAAAGCCTGAGCTGTAGCTCTGTGAACCAATGGATCCTTTGATCTTAAGTAACGTATTAAAGGAGCCACAATCTTGGTCTCTCCAAAGGCRACTTTATTGTTGCCCCACATGCAACAGTGGGCAACAGCCTCTGCTAAGTGACGTCTTAATTTGTTATCGTTCTGAAGAAGGTAAAAACATAATAAATTAAAGTCAATACACACAACAAAAAATTCATAGGAAAGCCAAATTGTATTCTCACATCTTTAAGGCATCCCAATTTAATTGCTTTACAATTAAAACTGGAGAGAGCTGTAAGGCATAGAGCTATGAAAGTCCCTTAATATTCTTTTTATAGGAAGTTCTGTGAATTTTTATATTATTTCAAAGGTACTTTTAGATTGACTGGAAATTAGATAAGACAGCATTAAAATGTAAAATATAGCCCCATCACTGAGATTTTCTGCATGTTTGAATTTATTGTTTTCTCAACCCTTTGTGCTTTTTTCATATGGCAGCTGCACCTCTCTCAAAAGCAATATTCTGCAACAGTAACTATTAAAATGAAGCTCATTTTCCAAACCAATTTTAGTACAGACACAGACTGTTTTGATGTCCAATATACACCCCATAGAGGAATGATTCTACAGCTCTCCTTGTAGCKGCTGCAAAATCTACTGCTCTCCGAAAGGTATAACCTTTTAATTGGGCCTAAGGTAGACTGATGTAAGAAATTTCAATGCTTTGTATGATATGTTCAGATGCTACTTACGGTGTTTGCTAGCTTGGACAACAGAGGGACGACTCCATGATCTGTCATAACAGCCAAGTTTTCTGCATCTTTAGCTATATTTGCAATGGCTGCACATACGCTTGTTACAACTTCTCTATCCTTTGATTTTAGCAAATTGACTATCAATTCCAAGCCACCAACAAGAGATCGAACCATGTCCCCAGAATTCTAAATGAGAATCAAAAGAAACATAGTTTTTTAAGTATTCAAACAATATTTATATGTAAATGTTTAAAAAAGGGATTGGCATGACATATTYATTCAAAACTGCAGCTATTGCTGTGTTGCCTTCACCAAGAAATATGGCTAATTTGGAACTTGGAGCTCTTTTGATTGACGTATGAGAGTTAGACTGTTTTACACACCATCATCCAGGAAGAAATTTAATGCCTAAATAAAGGTATCTATCATTTTTCATATCACAKGCTATAAAAGTCTCAAGCTGTCACTTTAGAAGGGTATAAGTCTCCCTTATCAGTTCTATCAGAGTGGCCAGACAGGTGCCTTGCACACTTTGGGCATCTAGCACAGCAACACACACTCCTGTTTAGCTCCCAAAGTGCCTCCTGTTTCCTACATTTAGTCTGACAGCTAAGACAAAGGAGTGACAGTATTATTTTCTTGTGTCAATGCAAATGAATATTCAGGGATATTTAGGAGGGGAAGTTACACAAATCATGCCAGAAACTGTGGGAGAACCATGGTGCACCTCCAAGTATGAATGTTCAGGGGCGGAAAGAAAGATCCACTAGTGGAACTACTTTAATTTGCTTCTTTCAACAGGTCAATAGGAAAATTCTGAATAAAAACTAACAGACATTCTCCTTTTGGATGTCATGTAAGTGCAAACATGGACTGTATGAACTTTCCTAGGGCTAAGGAGTGACCCTGAAGACCAAATATGGTTTTGATTATATTTATTTCTTTAGGGGRGGTGATTTATGAACAGAGGTCCAACTGTATTGTCTTAGCTTTACTGAGCAAATCRATCAAGTCACTGACGGACTTGGTAAATGAAGGTTTCATAAGATGCTGCAGTTTCATCTTTTTTTAATTCTRGGTCTACATGTCAAACAGAATTCTTAGCTGTGATGTTTCTTTCTCACAGGAAGTAAAAACAGTGGGTAGGCCTGTCAGGAATGAAACATTTTTGCCACAGGCAGAACAAATCTTGAGACTGGAAGGGAGAGGTTAAAGCTAAAATGTGTAAGGGTGAAAAACAGAAGCCACAGCATGTGGAAAAGGGGYAGCATCCAAGAGCAGGCTTAATGCAGAAGTCTTAACATCCCCCAAAATGAACTAATAACAGAGGTCCCTATAGAAATTAAAATAGAATCTAAATGTGGAGGAAGGCAATACAGGCTTGTGGCTCAGAAAAGCATTTGAGAAAGACAGAGAAGGAAGAGCGATGCTCTGGCACTTCTATTACYGTGTGAGGTGCATGTAGAAGCAGGTGGGTTACAGAGGGTTTCCTATGAATACATCAGCATAAATGTTCCTCTATCATTGCTAATGTTTGCATACCACAATGTAACAGACAATATCACCCGAACTGAAACACTGTTTCTCCATATCAGTTTTCATGCTTCTCTTGAACTTTTGAAATTTGACCCAAGGCAAATTGTAATGGGTTACAGAGAGAGCCTCTTACACATTAATTTCTTGCCTACATGTATTCCAGGGCTAGAGGCTAAATGACCAGACATTGGAGGAGGTAAGAAAATGAGATATTTTATATTTACGTCCATTCTCTGAAAGTCACTACAGCATTACCTTGTGTATAAATATTGTCTCAACAGATGAGAAAGGCTTCTGTTCAACAGGGAAATGCTACAGTACAGGGTTTAAGAGTTGAAACACACAATTCTGTGTTTCTGCATGWTTCAGATACCTGAGTCTTATTATTCCTGCTTTTGAAAGATGTTCCATGAAGAGATAAGATAGCCTTAATGAACCAATATCTACATTTTATATTTTTCTACCTGTACATATTTTCTTCCCAGGTGATTATAACCCTACATGTTGAATTTCTCTTCTGACAAGCTTATTATTTCCACATTTTGTAATGGAGTACAGGCCAACTAATGTCATGGAATAACATATAAACAAAGCAGCAGTAAGAAAAAGAAAAGACTTTCAATAATCATCTGTGAAACCAACTAAACACAAGTACAGAACTTTCTACCAGTGATGAAAAGCAGAGGGAAACTGCAGAAACCACATTGCAGGGAAGGTTCCMAAATGTGATTGAGGGTGTAGTCTGGTGGTCTGTGCAAGACAAAGAGAAAAGCAAAACAGCAAGAAATTTGAAGAACAATGAGCGGAAAGAAGGACCAAAATGAGAGCTTTAAAATCCATTATGTTATGTACAGGATTTCTTTTTTCAGAGAAATTTAAACAACAAACACAACCTTTTTTATACCATTTAGCAAAACCACATACTTGCTTTGTACAATAGATTTCTGGTTTGTTTTTTTAAACTGAAATATGTGTACTTATTATATGCAATTGCCATACCTCAATATTTAAAAAAGAATGTATATAAAGTTGTGTCTGTGATTGCAGAGGCCTAGTCTTAATTCTTTTGAATCTATGTTCTTTGACTATACTTGCAGTAATGATCAGATACTGCTCATAGTGTAAAGTCAAAAGTAACTTCTTTGATTTTAGTTTTCAAATACTCACAGGCATTTTCATGTAAACTTTTTTATTAGCCTAAGAGAAAGAAGAATATATAATATGTCTTTGGAAATATTTCTTTAATTTTCGTTTCAATTATAAAAAAAGCACAATCTTTAAGTTCTACCTTCTAAATTAATTGACAAACAACTTAGTTCAACTGACAACCCAAAGGATTTGCAATTTCCAGCTACTGGTGTATGTTAAGCTTTCATATTGATCTGTACTACTTTTTTTCTATGGGTCTCACTCCCTTCCCCATTGTGACAAAATCTTACTAGTTTCCTAACAAGACTACTCAGATAGAATTAGGCAGGAAAAGAATGTTAAGAATTATGGCTAAGAAACTGTCTTTACAGAGAAAAACGTTGATAAAATCACTGAAAAGGAATAAAATACATAATTTTACTGTATAGATCTGAATGCATGTGTTAACGATAGGCTGAATGCATCTGTTTCAACAATAGTATTTCCTGGAGCTGAGCAAAGTAAGAGGCCAGACTCAAAGGCATTTAAAGAAACAATACGAATGTTAAAAAAAATTGAAAGGGGGAAGAAGGCTTAAATATATTAACTTGATTATTTTTTATCTTCAWCTTCATCATCATCTTTGCCTTCATTATTATACTTTTCATGCAATATTTAATCTGAGGTGACATATGAAAAAACATGGATTGTTAAATTACGCTTTAAGTGGCTAAAGAAGAAAGGAAGAAATAATAGAATTTTTCATGACTTCACATGACCACATCTTCTAAGCAGTCAAGAGCAAAGTTTTTATCCTCAGAAAGTATGATAAATAGTACTTAAAATTGGATTCAAGGGGAATAGTTYGCAATCTTAAGCAGTAAAAACCCACCTATCTGGCGTAGATGCTGAGGCCAGAAAAATTGCCTGTTGTGTTAATAAAAGCCTCATCCCACTGCTCTGTTACATATTTGCATCTTGCTGGCCTGCATGACTATTAACAAGAATCAGTTAACTTTCCCTTTCACTTATTCCTACATTGGCTTCAGYCAAGAGCAGAAATAGTGTGAGACAGACCAGCTTTGCACAGTTTTTTTGAATTAGGAACAGAAAGTGTTATGGTATTTGCAGGACTCAATCTTTGTGTCATTTGTACAAAGAGAACATTTGGGATTTTTGAGTTTTCTCATTGTCATATTCTATGTTTTTTGTGTTTACTTTCATGAAGTAAATAAAGTTCATCAGTCCTAAGATGAGACATACAGGTCTTGTAGAAGAACTACTGGGTTCTTTTGTAACCTAATTCCTTTCTTATTTCTTCCAAAGTGAAAACTGTTTTCTTTACTTGAATGATTTAAAACTAAACACCTTATTACAAAAACGTATTAAAATATACTCTACTTGAAAGATGAAAGTTTCTCCACTAAAGACAAGTAATATTTCACTCCTAGGACATCTTAAAAAGCTTAAGGTGCCAAAGCTAATTTGTCAAATTGTATTTCTTTTGCCCAAAAAAACTGATGGTATGGCTGTGCAAACAAACTTTAGTTATCAAGGGTCATCTTCAAACTACCTTTTCTTTAATGAAGGAAGCTTTTCCTTTCCATTTGCTATTGCCAACTAAATAACTTATTCTAGTGCACAAACCAATTTAAAGTTCAAAATAAAGAAATGCAAAGAAGCTTCTATATTATAGCTGTTCAATGAAAATGGAAAACACAATTTATATAAGGAAGTCTCTATTCATGGTTCTTATTAAATAACTCAATTGTAATATTGATCAAATTACTTCATATTTTAAGGCTAATTTTATTCCTGTTGGTACTGCCATGGAGGTTTCCACTGTAGCAGAACAGATGAAGAACCACTTGTAAGATGAGACTACTTCCCTACATCTCACAACCTCTGTGATGGAAAATACAATGTGTTGGGAAAACAAGACCAGACAATCAACATGGATTTTCCTGTCCTCTTTACCTCATGAAAGCAACCAAAGCCAAAGCAACAAAGCAGAGTTGCTTTAACATGGTTCCAATGCTACTCTATAGCCTGTAATGGCAGAATTCCTCTGCAGAACYCCCTCTCTCTCTTCAGTGATTTGATCATCACACACTTGGCAACTGTATTGCTACTGACAGTTACAAGACACCAAAGTGAAGCAATTATCCAAGCATACAGCCCAAGCAGGCATGCAATGCATGTTCTCTAAAAAATGGCAGGGGGAAAGAATGCCTAATTAATCACTAATGCAACTTTTAGTAATCCTTCTGTCTACTGTTTTCCTTGCTTTTCAGTCTGGCAGACTATACCTGAAATTCAGTCCTGGGTAATTGCCAAAATCCTAGTTTTGTTTTTCACAGAAGCAGTGAAACAATTCATATCAAAGTCTTTGAGGCCACAGTTGATCTCAATTATTTGAGATTATTTTGAGGAATATTTAAATAATGGAAGTATGAGAAACAAATAACATCTAATAACTGGAAAAACTAGAAAAACCAGTAATTTCTTTGGTTTTGGATTGA